GTTTCCATAAGCCCTAAACCCTAAACCCTAAGTTGGAGAACCCCCCGATATGGTGTTTAGCGACCTTCTCCCCCGCCCCCCCCCCCCCGGTCCTCAAAAGGATCCCATTCTTCGGGCGCCTGTGGGTTTTGCGTTTCCGGGTCAGGGGTAAGGGTAGTAGAGTTTTGGGTTTTGGGCTTCGGCTTTTAGGGTTTAGGGTTACGGTTGGTGTTCTTTTCCTACTGGGGAGGTTCTGAAGATGCTCCGTTTAGGTGTTCTTCTTGTTCATGACCCTGGCAAGCCCCAGCATCTGGGATCCATGTTAGGGTCCCTGCTTTGACGAAATCTTTCTGGGAACGTATGAGGTTCATACGTTTCAGCACCGCTTTGGTGTGACGATGAGGCTGTTCAACAGCTGTCAAGCCTGTGTAAGGGTGCCTTGGGGGCTTCGTGTCTCCAGGGTTTCGAAGGCCTTGGAGAACTGAATTGACCAGCCTAAAACAACCCCGAACCCTTAAACCCTGAAACTGCTCGCACATCCCAAACCCTCCTCCGGTCCACCCTCTCCAATGGCGCTCCCTAGCTTAAGTTTCCAAGCGCTGCCCATAACTCCGAAACTTCAGTGGTTAAGGTTCTTGCAGGTTTGGGGTTTGAGCAGTTTCTGGGGTTTAGCTGATTAGGAGTTTAGGGGTTTAGGGTTTGGATGTGAGATTAGAATCTAGTTTAGGTTGGGCTCTTGGGGGCTCAGTTTCACATCTAAACCCTAAACCCTAAACCCCTCAACCCTAAACCCTAAACCCTAAACCACTTGCAAGACCAAGTCTCCAGAACGCCAGCCCCGGCAACCCCTGAGCAAGCCCAGTTAGGGTTTAGGGTTTAGGGTTTAGGGTTTAGGGTTTAGGGTTTAGGGTTTAGGGCAAAGCCGGTGGCTTCTAAATGCCCGGCACCGCCTGACACAGTGGCTTCTCACCTAGCGCAAAAACTCCTCCACCTTACCCTCCGCTGGTCGAACTTCCTTCCGCTCGACCACATCTCTCGCCCGCTCTTTTTTCAAAGCCTCCGCAAGGGAAACGGAACCACTTACGCCCTAAACACTACACCCTGAACCCTAAACCCTAAACCCTAAACCCTAAACCCTAAACCCTAAACCCTGAACCCTTTTCATAATCCCTAAAAGCAACACCAGCAAGATGCCTTTGGCCCAGCTTCGGCCAATTCGTACTGGGTCGTCCTGCCCTGGGCATCCGGGTGTGTTTAGATGGGGGGATTTAGGATTTAGGAGTTATAAGATTTAGGAG